GACGCATTGGCAAGATTTTTTTGTGTGGAAGTAGTTGGAGGGCTAGAGACTCAGAGAGTGACATAGGCTACTTTTTACCGCGGAAAATTATTTCATTCCCACGGGAAGACACGTCCAACCCAAAAAAATATTTATGATCAGAATTCCTTGAAACTGGGTATTAATGCTCTTCAATACAATTAAATAAATAATTGTTTTAGCATTTCTCGAAATTCATTCCATAAGAAGGTAAAATAGGAAGAACAAATTAAATACTTAGTGATGGCAAACGGGACCCTCAACTAGATTTATTTTTAGTTGGACATGGTTTACAGTGAATTATAATAATGCATTATATATAATAATTCAGTGTTTTTAATTATTTTATATCTTTAGCATCGACTGTGTTATTTTTTAAGTCAATAAAATAAAACATGATTTGTCGTGTATTTTTTTTTAACAAAACTAATTCAAATTTATATTTGTTAGTTGTTCAGTTTAGTTAATTCAACAATAGATGGCGTTAGTAGTATTCTACATCGCGCAAGCATTACGTTCTGATGCATACATATAAGCTCCGATACTAACTTTCTCTAGGTCAAGTCAGGGTTGTCAGTTCTGTAAGTTCATCTTGAGGTTATCGTAGTTTTGTAGGGTTTACGTTATCGTCACGGTTGTTGGTCGTTTCAAGTAGTGGTGGTTCATACTAGGAAAAATTGGAAACCTGTTACACCTGTTCCTGTTCCAATGAAATAACAGTTTCAATAACCTGTTCCAAAATAACAGCCTGTTCCATCAATACTACAATAACAGACTAAGCCGTTCGGATACACGTAAAAAACATACTATTGAAATTTTAGTAGCTAAATTTCATTTTTAATTTTATTGAACTAAATTGTAATATATTAATTAAATTAGGTATTTCAATAACAATATTTAATTTTAAAGTTTATTTAAAATAAAATCACAATAACATAATAATATTACGCGAAAATATTGTTGTTTTTTTTTATTTCATTTTCAACTGTAAATTCCCAAATAGTTTTTTATGTGTATCCAAATGTGTGAACAGGAAGATGAATAATAAGATGAGAACAATATTAACCTGTCTCTTTCTAAGTTCCTATTAGCATATGCATGACTAGCATTGCCCGCGGCTCCACCCGCGTTCAGATGACCAAAAACCAAATTCTTAGGTTTTACCTATTAGTATACTCTTACATTGCAGTTTTTGAATTTTTTCTCAGAAATGAGATATTTTCCCGCGGTAAAAAGTATCCTATATGCTGACCCGGATAACCAGCTATCACCATACCATATTTCATAAAAATCCCTTTAGTGGTTTTTCTGTGATGCGTTAACAGACAGACAGACAAAAATTCTAAAAACTATAGATATTCTAAAAACTAAACTATAGATTCGGCCTCTGTATCGATAATAATGTTTATTTCAATAAGATTTTCAAAAAAATATTTAATGTACAGATTCGACGTAGTACAATTTTATTATATGTATTATGTATAGAACATAGAACAGGCTAGTTCCACGGTGTTCCAGTTCCATTTTGTATCTGTAACAGATTCGTATTGACAATTGTTTGATGTTTCGTAAATCGTAATAGGTACGTTTTGGAACAGGAAGAACAACCTACCCTACCCCAGCCTGCAAATTTATGATATTCGCAATGAAAAAAATACTAATCGATAGATTTTTAATAGCTCAATTCAACTACGTAGCCCTTCCAAATTGCTCACCATTAATTATAAAATTAAAAATCAATAAAGTCCTTGAAAAAAAATTCATTTATCCGTATATTCAAATTTCTATATCTTTTGATATATACAATATTTTAAATTGCTCAAAGTTCTAAAATACTGCTCAAGTTGCATTTGTAATTGCTCAAGTAGAGTTCTCACCAGCTCCACTTTCCTTAATTATTAAATAAATATAAATAGTTTGAATAAATTTAACGTATAGATAGGTGAGTGCTGCGCATGCGCGCAAACAGTAACGCGAGTCGCAAGGCAAAAAAATCAAGTGTTTCATAACCTCATCATAGTGAAATGAAACTGTAATACTCCAAGCACAACATCATCTATTTTTGCTTGATTTTTTTCATGCTTCATTGATTTTTTTGCCTTGCGACTCGCGTTACTGTTTGCGCGCATGCGCAGCACTCACCTATCTATACGTTAAATTTATTCAAACTATTTATATTTATTTAATAATTAAGGAAAGTGGAGCTGGTGAGAACTCTACTTGAGCAATTACAAATGCAACTTGAGCAGTATTTTAGAACTTTGAGCAATTTAAAATATTGTATATATCAAAAGATATAGAAATTTGAATATACGGATAAATGAATTTTTTTTCAAGGACTTTATTGATTTTTAATTTTATAATTAATGGTGAGCAATTTGGAAGGGCTACGTAGTTGAATTGAGCTATTAAAAATCTATCGATTAGTATTTTTTTCATTGCGAATATCATAAATTTGCAGGCTGGGGTAGGGTAGGTGGAAGAACAGGCTAGTTCCACGGTGTTCCAGTTCCATTTTGTATCTGTAACAGATTCGTATTGACAATTGTTTGATGTTTCGTAAATCGTAATAGGTACCTACGTTTTGGAACAGGGACAGGTTTTTCGGTTATGACGGAACAGTTCCATGTTGTTACTTTTAAAAACCTGTTTTTTTAACCTGTTCCGATATATACGCCTCACTCTTAGTTTCAAGTTCAAAAATTAATACAAGTCGAATTGTTCAAGTTCGTACAATATTTATTATGAATGTGTTTTAGTGATGTGCCAACTCGGAAAAATTATAACTCGAATTGAAATTCACGTAACTCGAGTTATCTGGATGAAAAATGAAGTGAATGATTTGTTTTGTTTGTACCGATTTAATGACTCGGCTTTGCAACAATATTAAAAAACTGGTACAGATTCTAAATAAATATTTATTGGAACAATTATAATTATTTATATTTATTTATTTTTATTATTAGTAGCAGAACCCGCGGCTTCGCTCACGCTAAAACTAAAAAAAAACACTCTAAAAAGGTAGGTTTCATCCGCTATTTTACCCCTTAACGGGATAAATTTCGAAGAATGCTAAAACATATATTTATTTAATTGTAGTGAAGAGCGTTAATACCAAGTTTCAAGTAATTTTGATCATAAATATTGTTTTGGGTTGTGTATTATAACGTGTTTAACCGTGGAAATGAGATAATCTTCAGCGGTAAAAAGTAGTCTATACCATTCTCCAGCCCTCCAACTATGAACTATCTTCACCCACGAAATTACCCCAGTTCGTTACTTTCGTTCGTTTCGACGTGAAAGAAGGACAAACAAACAAACTTTCACATTTATAATATTAGTATGGATATTATAACGCTTTCATTCGGTTGAAACGCATATATAGTATTAAACGCATATATATTAGACAGGAGTACGGACGACAGCGATTAAGTTAAATACTGTGGCATCTTATTCGGTTGTAATAGGAGCGATTTTGCAACATAAATGTATAGTCTGAAGTGCTGACGACTGTACAAAACATGAACACAACGAACGAATCGCCGCGTTTGCGTAAGGTCAATCGCGTACTCGCTTGATTCGTTCATTTACCACGCAAATCCAATTCGAGTCAGAGAGAATTCAACTCGAGTTGATTCGAGTTAAGCCCAACTCGAGTTAACTCGAGTTAGTAACTCGAGTTGACACATCTTTAATGTGTATCAGAGATGCGCAAACTAGGTCCTGGAGCGGTTTGAACATGGAATAGTTCCTTTCCATAAAGGAACTATGTTCACGAAACATGTTCGCGGAAGTATCTAGTTCCGATAGTTCATCCGATCCGATCGTTCCGATTTTAACAGGTTTTCACTGTCATCGGTTCCCGAGGACAGCATAGCGGGAGATATAGTTTTGACTGACCGACTTCAAAAAAAGGAGGTTATCAATTCGACACGTATGTATATAATATTATTAGAACTGCAAGATATTAACATAATATGATATATTAGGGCTTCGAAGCAAATATACAAAATTTTATAGGTGTATAGATGTATGTATGTATGTATGTTTGTTTGTTTGTGTGTATGTATGTTTGTCCACGCATTTCGCCAAAACTACTTTCCGGTCGTGATGATGCTTTTTTATTTGCTTACATTTATTTTAACTTAGGGAATAGTAAGAATTTCATCAAAATCGGTTCAGTGGTTTTGAAGATATGGATAAAAAAGTGTATTTTTTGTAATTACTACTTATTACAAAAACTATTTCAGTTTTTACTTAAAACTAAAAATTACGAAATAAAAAAGTAATTTAAAAAATTTAAACCAACTTCAAAAAAGTGTACTATAAAGTAACTGAACGAGGGGTTTTCAATTTTCATTTACTATAGATATAATCCTCGTCAAACTTTTTGGCCGCCCTGAATTGGCGCGAGCTGATGCGCAGAACGAAATAATAAGGTAGGTATCGGGCAAAGTGCGCAGGGGAAGCGCTAACTTCAGGGCGGTCAATAAGTTTGGTGAGAGTTATACCTAATCAGTAATCAGATATTTTTGAAGTTGGTGCTCTGGCACTGATACAAATCAAAGCACACCGACTTCGAAAATGTCTAATTCGGTATCTGTAGTAAATGAAAACTAAAAACCCCTAGTTCAGTTATTTTTAATTTTTTAGCACACTTTTCTGAAATCGGTTTAATTTGTTTTTTATTTAACACTTTGAGTTAGAAACAAAGTCGCCAATTGATTTACCTTCATACTTTACATACAGGCTTAGGACTGTCAACCAAGAACTTTACTAAAGCGTAGGTACTTTACTTAAACTTCGTAAAAAACTGAAAACTTACAACTATATCTTACTCTTTTCACTTGGTTGGCGTGTTTATAAATCAACTGATTCTATATACATCATTCTATATACATCACTCTATACATATTTACAATTTTTAAAGTATACTTGTAGCATTTTTTTACATTTTTTTTTGTTATTTACAAGGGCAGCTATTTAAGATTACTGCCAATAAATAATAACATGGACACTTTTGCCGCCTTTAGCCGTCTTCTTCGGTCAGTCAAAGTAAGTCCTGCTTTCGAGAATATGCGCTCACAGGGTACGGAAGTTGCGACAATATTCAGTCTTTTTAAAATGTATTGATATAACAGGGGGTAGACCGACTTTCGGGTGTGCCACCAAAGTAGAGGATCCTCCAACCTGTGTAAAATGGGCTCCTGGATATATTTATCTACCTCAACTATACCGGCTGCAGTGCTATTCTCTGGAACAAGGCTCGCAACTTCTTCGTCAAAATCGCTCCAAATTGAAGGTTCCTTATTAGTCGATGATGATGGTATGGGTATAGGTTCCGTCCTAATTGGCGTAGACTCAGGCGCGTGAATGCGCATAGCTCCGACTTTCAACTTCAGGGACGCCAAAGCTCTCTCATATTTGCTTTCATCACAAAAACCTTTGCCCTTGAACCTAGGGTCCAGTATAGTGCTTTCAGCATAGAGCGTATTGCTTTCGACTGAATTAAATCGCTAGTGTAATTGCTCATTTAACGTTCGCAACATCGTGTATATCTTGCTGTTATCTTGTGCAGCTTCAGCTTGTGATAAGCGGTACGTTATTTGCCTCTTAAGCAATAAACCGGCAATAAACTATGACTTTGGAAAGACTAACAGATTTTTCAGTTGATACCTCCACTGCAACTTCGTAAAATATTTTTAAAATTGGTAATGCTTTTTCAATTAGTGTCCAGTCTTCGAGAGATAGTGCTAAGTCAGCTCTAACTAATGCCAATGTAGGGCCTCTTTTATTTTTACTACGCGGTCCAACATATCATAAGTGGAGTTCCACCTTGTGCTCACGTCTTGTTTTAATTTTAACTCTCTCATATTCATTTGTTTTTGAACAGATTTTAATTTGTTTAGTCCAGTCGTGCTCCTTTGGAAATATTCTACGATGCGTTTGACCTTGTTTACCGTATCGAAAATTGTCTCAATACTAGCTTGTACTATTATGTTTAATGTATGAGCGAAACAACTCAATGATCGCCATTCTCCCAAATGAACTGCTGCAAGTATATTCGCCCCGTTGTCTCTGACAATAACACCAACTTTATTCTCTATCTGCCACTGCCTCAGTTCGTCTTTTAAAAACTGGCAAAGATTAGCGGCCGTATGGCTCTCGTCATAATTTATACAGCCGAGTAAATTTGCGCACAACTGACCCGCTTCTAGGTCAATATAGTGTGCAGTGATGGCAATAAAACTCTCATTATTATAAGAGGTCCAGCTATCCGTAGTAATGCAGACGGCGGGAGCCTTTGAAATTTCATTTTTTACTTGCTCCTTAAGCTGTAAGTATCGTTGTGGTAGCAGACTTTCAGATAGTGTCTTCCTAGTAGGCAAACTATAAGACGAGTTTAATAGTGCTACGAATTTCTTGAATTCGGTATCATTAACAATATTCAGTGGATGGTACTCTTTAGCGATCATTGTAATCAATTGTTGGTCTATTTTTATTTTTTTATTCGGTGGTAGGGGTCTTTGAGTAAACCCGTCCATGCTGGGTTGTACTTGTCGTTTTTGTACTGCGCAGACAGATGACGAAGATGCCGCATTTGAATTAGATGGTATAGTATATTGAGGCTCGTGATTTTGCTCGTGCTCAATATTTGTGCGAGGAAGCCGAGGATGGACAGATTCAGCGCTAACATTATTGTCATTAATAGTTACTTGTCGTTCCACTGGTGCTATAAGTATTGTTGGATGTTTCCTTTTTAAATGCCTAGTCAAATTACCTAAGCTGCCAGTTGTAAAAGAAATCTTTTCTGAACAATAATTACCTTTTTTTTTGATGATGCCTCTTCTATAAAATGGTTCCAAAGAATGCTGGTTTTTCTTCGGGACGCCATTTTTACACTTAAAAGTACTTAGGTATGTATGTACACAATAACTAACAATAAAACTATTTTACATATATATATTTACAAAACTATGCTATTCACAAAAATATTTACGAGTGTTTAAACAAATATCTAAATAATATATTTTTTAAAGAGAAAGTACTAATCAAAAAACTATTATGGTGCTTTCGCGCGCAATGTTAATCTAGACGAACGCAACAAAGTACAAAAATATTGTGTCAAAAGTAAATAAAGAATATTAAAATTTAAAAATATTATTAATGTTTTAAAAGTTCAAAACGAAAATCAGATTTAATCAATGAATTATCGACTTTAACGCACAGTGAAGTAGGCACATTATTAATTGTAATAGCATAGTAAGAGATGACATTATATTACGAATTACTCACACACGCACTAGTCACTACAGTAGTTTACACACAGTACCTACGCGATATAATGGCGCTTCCACATAGCAGTGCAGCAGATAACATCACATACCTAACATTTTTTAACACGAAATCATTTTAAACCCACGAAACCCACTAAAAATGGAAAATAAAAACTTAAAAAAAACTACTTCAAAGAAATAAAAATATTGTAAATGATTGTTTAACTTATGAATTATTTTATTATATACATTGATCTTAATTTTTAATTATTTATTGTTATTATTTTTATTAATTATAAATTCTAATTCATATTAGGTATTGTCAAAATTAAGAAAGAAGTTTAAATTAATAAACATTCTTTATATACGTAATAATTAATATAACATTAGATCTAATACTATTATTATAATATAACTGAATATGAAAGGATTTTATTAATAATTAATAAATACCTACTTTCTTAAATTGTTTTTAATAGCATTTTTAGTAAGTGCAAGAAATAAAAGGCTTTTTTATTTTAATTTAATTTATTTATTTAATGTATTTAGATTGTGTTCGGTGTTTGGCACGTGTTTATGATTCTCGGTGCTTGTGGCAAGCACCCAGCATGTGGACGCGGCATAACAGATGTTTACTAAAAAAATTTAACTCTTGTGAGGAAGCACCTTAAAATTTAATATACAGATATAGTTTGGGTAGGTTCGACAGGAGTCGGTTACGTTCAGTTCAGTCAGTCGCTCCGGTGATCGGTCCAATATATTCGTTTACTCGCTCCATCTCACTCCTGCACATGTGGAACTGTATGGACTATGGAACTGTTTAACTGTGAACCTGTTTCAATTGACATCGCGGATTGGAACGATATCGTTCCGGCCTAAGACATAGTTCCGGGAACTATTTCAATCCGGACCTATGCATGTCTAATGTGTATCTATTAGGGTAATAGGGATGATCATGTAAAAGAATATCTTTATTTTTTTCATTTAATATATCGTATTGTCGTATCGATATTTTCGATATATGGTAAGTCATAAGTTATTTGTTTGTATTTAACTAGTCTGTAATATTAAATATAAGTTGGGGATCAGGTTAATATAAGTAAAAACAGTTAGTGAAGAAACAAGACATTTTATTTATTTATTAATCCCAATACTTTTTCTCTAGACCTTGCAGAAACAAAATTTTACTGAAGTGCTGAGTTAAAATAGCCGTTTTTATATATCGTTATACACACTTACTATATTTAAGTTTCGTAAACTGTATTAAACAAAACAGACAACTTTTATTTATACTTTATAGGTTATTTTGTAATTTGTACTGAGAAGTGAGAACGATGAACGAAGCGGAAGTCGGAACTCGGACTTCGGAAGCGAATGAGACTCTTGAGGCACAGACACACTACGAGTTACGACTACAGTCACAGATTATAAAATTTTTACTACTACTAGTCTGCCTGCACGAAGAGTAGGAGACTAGTTTTCATTTTCGTGTCTTTGCGTTCCGTTATTGCGAAGGCTAGTTTTTCAATAATTCGGGGTTTTCCGTTTCAAGTCTGCTAACAATCCTTTTTCTTACTCAAGTTGCCATCCATAAATAAAGGAATCAATATTACAAAAAAAGAAATTGAATGTGTTTTTAATTTCTCACGATATTTGATATATCGGATGAAATATATCGATATATAATATCGATACTATATGATTCGATAATATCGGGTTGAAGCGATATATCGCGTACATGTATCGATATTTTATGAAATATCGATATATATCGTGCACTCCTAGTATCTATTACGTTATATAATTTTACGTAATAACCTACAAAATTATATTTAAAAAAAAGTAACTTCAGCGTAAGAATAACAATATAGTTTTAACTAATACAAAATAGACCACTTATACGTATATAATGGTAAATGGTTAGATAAGGCTTTAGAAACTTTATATAATAGTTATATTTATCTTATACTTATTATTAAATATATACGGAATTAAAAATATAAATGTTTTTGTGTAAAATATCCATTCTCCTGCAATTCACCAATAGATAGCGCTGCAGTGCATAATTTCATTAGAACCGAACCACGGCAATTCGTGGCCGGGTATATCTAGTAAATATAAAAATCAAATCTCTGAACATGAAATCATCTCATATAATATGTTTTAAAATTATATTTTAATACAATTACAAAAAAAAATTGCCGACAAATTCTAAGTGAGTAAAGTTTCGATAGCCAGTCTTCGTTTTTGCATCAAAATAAATTTCGTTTTTCCAATTTTGCGTTAAATCATAATAATATGAAAATAATAAATAAATAAAAAAATCGATACAACGACGCTACTATTGCAATACTCTAAAATAAATCTCAACGGTGAGGGCGCTGTACAAAATCCTATACAAAATATACTCGATGACGATATGAACATTTTTTCGCAAATGTTCGTGCTCGCCCTACTGATATATTTTTAATTCAAGAGATCGTTTTAAAACTTAGCAATAGAGATCTCAAAATAGCCAACTACAAAATAATCAAAACCTACACACTTGCTGCTTTGAGCGGCAGAGTTATTTACTAGCATAAGAGACTTATTTATGTACGTATGAGAGAATTAATGATGTTTTAATCAACAAATTACATTTTAAGAGGTTTTCTTCAGAACCATATATGACAGTATGTATATCTACAATGATGACAATAAAATTTAGTATATAGCTATTTATGATGATATAATGTTATTTTCTTCAAAAATATCCCAGAAAGGAAAGCTCATCAAAGAAAACTTGATGAATCAATTTGAGACGAAAGACTTAGGATCAGTACATCAATTCTTAGGTATGAAAATTACCATAATATTATTATATATCGAAAACTGTACTTTAAATCAATCTAGCTATATAAGGAAGATATTAGTAAAGTTTAAAATGACAGATTGTAAGGAAGTAAAAACTCCTATGGAAGTAGGATTAAAGTTACAAAGACAGGAGTATGTGAGTAATTTGATTACAAGAGTTTCATTGGTTGCTTAATGTATATTTAGCAGTGTGTATCAGACCAGATATCGCTCATAGTGTCAGCCAATTAAACGATTGCCGTGGTAAGAGCCATTACAAAGAATTAGATAAAAGAAAATAATTCAGTAGTAAGAAATGGAGGGTATTTTTATAAAGGCTTTATGTACTGAGCATAAAAAGCATAGCAAGCATAAAAAAATTGAATCCAAATTATTTAAAATATGAAGCTGGTATAAGTGGTATAAATAAGTGAATGCCACATTAAGAGACAATGTTAGCACATAATTGTAAAGAATAAAAAATAATATTGTAATTGTTAACTGTGACAAAGTTCTGCCTTGTCTTAACCGCTATATAAGTTTTACCGATCCTTCATATTTACCGTAAAATGAATGTTGCAATGGAATCTGAAATACTGTACATTAAAGATTATCCTTGTCCACACCAGGTTGTCTCTATACCTGGAGATGGTTCAAGTTTGTTCCATTCTTTATCATTCTCTATTTATGGGAATATTGAGTCGTCGTATGACATTAGTTGTGCTATAGTCGAGCATGTGGTAGCGCATTGGAATGAGATGCAACGTAATACTTGTGACGAGCGTGGAGTATATTAACGCTGATCTGTACTCGACGGCAATGCTAAAAACTACTACCTAAGGTCCGTATGCGGACTTATAGTGGCTACCGCTTTAAATCCGTTTACTTTCAAGGTTTACAAAAATGGCCGTTTGAGAGGATCATTCGGTGGTGATCCTGGGAAACCGGTGAAACGTTTACGATTTTCTGGTAGTTTCTTAGAAGGTCATTACGAAGTGCTCCTTCCTAATACTACGTTCTCTGGACTATCTCTTAATGATCTATTAAATCAACATACTGAAAACCTACCTAAAAAGGGAGGAAGACCTAAAAATGTTTAGAGAGGAAGGCCTAAAATTTCAAAGTTATCCCGTTCTCAACACTTATGGAAGCAGCTGCTCGTTATCACCAGAACACCCTCGAAAAACGCAAAAGACATTGGCACGTTACAGTTTCTCATATCTGGAGGTTCACAAAGAAGCTGTAATGTGTTACACTGCTTCCTATAGGGAAGTTAACCGAGTAGCAGTAGCACACTATTCATCCGGAAAAACGCCGGGAAGCTGCGGCATGTTGCAAAGCCGAAGAAAAGCCTACAATCCGAAGCAAAAGATTGAACGATAAATCACAATTTCGACTGAAAAATTTAGAATATAATAATCAAACACTAACAAATAAGATTCAGGACAGATCAGAAGCAGGTCGGCGGCAAAGGTCTAGTATGGTCTTGTTTATTGATCTGTGCGCACTAGATGAGAACGTCATCGTACAACTAACTACAATGTACGAAAACTTTGTAAACAAAATTGCCGTTCGGTATTACGCATTAACTGAACAAGGAAAACCAATACAAATTTTAATTTATATCAACAATTTAAACCGCATTTTCCTCACCTACGAACGATTTCAAGAGATATGTATCAACTATCAATTACAGAGCATTAGTAATTTAAAAGATATTGATGCATCATTAGAAAAATCTGACGTAGAAAAAATTAAAAAATATGGAAAACAACAAAATATTAGCAGTATTGTTATGAAAAGTGAAGAGTCACGTGAAATTTTAGAAGATGCACTCATAGATAAACATAAGGCTGCACTCAAATCTTTAAAATTATGATACTCCGAAAATCGAGTGTATGTCATATGTGAAACTTTGCTATTCAAGACATCTATCAGCTCTGTATGAATAGATTAAGAAAACCTACAGACACGTTTGAAGAAACTTCCATTTTGATTTGATATAATTTGATTTGTAATTTTGCTAGCATGGAATGGAAATACAAACATCCAATACGTTAGCGAAAAAACCGAAATTTTGAATTATTACGTCACTAAATATACAAAAGCAAGAAAGCTCACGTTACTGATATGTTTCAGTAAATGAAATCAACAAAACCTTTAAGAAAGCGCTTATTTAACTTTTGCCTTAAAGTTTTATCAAGCAGAGAATCTGACTCCCTGAAAGCTAGTGATACTTTACTTCGTATTCCTTTGTACGGCACTGATCGTACCCCAACAATTCGATGAATAAATGTGAACATTTATCGAAACCGGCGCGTTAAATCTAAAGCTGAAATGATGATGCTCGAACTGGAGTCCACTGATATTTATAACGAGTCTTGGATTGATGACTACAACCCTAAAAGGCGTAAAGAGTTGAAGACTACTAACTTGTACAGTTGCGCTCAAAATTAAGACATCGTCAAATCATTCAATCAATTATCAACAAAATTAGCGATCCTCTGTCTCAAGCATACTGTCCAATATTATGCGAAAAGAAAAACTCCAGTGTATGCGTGTTTTCTGGACCTCTCCAAGGCCTTTGATCTAGTCTCATATGATTGTCTTTGGAAGAAAATCACTGACAGTACTGATCTCCCAGTTGAATTTTTAAATATACTGAAATATTGGTATAGCAACCAGTGTAATTATGTAAGATGGGCGGGTATGACGTCAGATGCATACAGGATCGAGTGCGGAGTAAGACAGGGGGGACTCAGCTCACCCAAGCTCTTTTACCTATATGTCGAAGACGAGTCATAATCACAACTAATCGGAACGCGAGCGCCACCTTTTTGGGCTCGACAGAGTCTACGTCGTGACATTCGACCGGGCACGGCTGAGTTACGCTTGGTCGGTCGCACAGTGAACACTAGTAGAAACTGTCTTGCGTTCCGTATTGTCTATACGTGGTAATAGTGAAGTGGTATATGGTTGTGTAGTGAAGTGCTGTTTAACTATGTACAAAGTGATTATTGTTAATTTGAAATACAACTGTGATTGCATCGACTTTCATTTGAACCAACACTTCCCATATAACGACCACTGTATAATTCATGATAAAATAATGGAAAATAATAGAGAAAATTAATGTTGCTTCGATATATATATAAACCAGCTGATATGTGAACTGAGTAATACCAAAATTGGATGTTCTATTGATGGTCAATGCTTTAATAACATCAGTTACGCGGATGACATGGTGTTGCTGAGTCCTTCTATCAGTGCTTTGAGAAGGCTACTCAGTATCTGTGAGAACTATGCGGTGGCCCATGGTCTCAGGTATAACTCAAACAAGAGCGAACTCCTAGTTTTCAAAGCAGAAAATAAGAGTTATGACACTGTTCCACCTGTCTTCTTAGGAGGATGGAGAGGGAACGCAGAGCTAGCAGTTAGGTGTAACATGCTGGCCTGCAGGTTCGCACGATGTACAAGATAAGTTAAAGTTACATTGTTTAGAGCCTATTGCCAGTCCATGTACACGTGCGCTCTATGGGTCAGTTATACGCAGAGGTCGTACAGCGCTCTGCGTATCCAATATAATAACACCTTCCGGGTAATGCTGGGGCTACCGCGTTCTTGCAGTGCTTCGGGGATGTTCGCGAGTGCTGGTGTGCCGGACTTTTATGCGTTAGTAAGATCACGAATAACGTCCCTGATGCGGCGAGTGCGCGATAGCCCCAATAGCCTTGTAGCCACTGTGGCTAAAAGATTTGACAGTAGCATAATGTGGCATTGGATGACGACACATAGATCTTCATTTAAATACATTAAATAAAGGTAAAGTCGCTACCAAAGTTAAGTGTTATGAGATAAATGACGGTAAAAAGTTTCTAAAAAAAGGGATAAGCCATGACTTATCAATCACTATTATAGCGACGTAGAATAAGTACCAGAGAAGTATTTCTTCTTTACTTCTTTTGCTCAAGCCATGGCGTTCCTTGAATGAATTAAAAGAAGGAGTTAATCAACTCTTTATTGATGATTATGGTTATTCAAGAATAGAATCAAGATAGAAAGATAAAAATATATAAGATAGAAAATGCATTTGAAATGATAGAAACGAAAGTTCTCACCAACTTTTCTGAAAACGTCATTTTCTAAAACGAAGAGAGAGAAATCGCTAATGATGAAGGGGGTTCCGAAAACCCATTAGACTTTGAAGCTATAGAGGCTGCAAACACAATGGATGACTTTCAAAGAATCAATCTGGTAGAATATAAACAGCCTAATGTAGATCTTCAAACTATAATCGCATAGCTTAATGCCGATCAAAAGAGAATGATATGATCACAAATAAAATGAAAAGGACTGATAATAACGCTGACGTTTTACGTTGTTTTATGTGTGGAACTGGTGGCACTGGAAAGAGCTTTTCTTAAAAAGACGCTAAAAGTTTGGGTACAAAGGCATTTATATAAAAAGTGGCAATTAGTGCTCCCACAGGAATAGTTGCATTTAATATGAATGGATTGACTATACATAGACATCATTAATCAAAGAAATAAATATATTATCTAATTTAATTATGGTCACTATAAAATGTTGTTACTTAACTAACTGGGTAAGGATTTATGACAAAGTTGTCAGATAGATGCTTCCAAACATAGGTATTGAATAGATTAACCGACTTTGTTTTACGTTATAATTCATAACTTTTGGCGGTAGAAGAAATGCGTTGCGAGACTTGCAATTTTTTACATGTTATGTTTTTGATGGGATAAGTTCACTTCAAAACTTTTACTTCATAGAAAAACATATGTGAATCTTTACGCTGTTGAATTTTTATTTTTCTATTTCACTGCTTGCCTATTTATAAAACATTCAATATACAAGCTTTCAAAGGTTTTGTAATAACCATGAAATAAATTTGTTTTTAAGTTCAACTATAAATAAAATAAACTGAAAAGCGTATTTGAGTTCTATGGCGCGACGTTTATGAAAATAACGTTGGAAATATTCGCTGAAGCGCACACGAGGTTTTAGGCGCGCCGGTTTTTTGTAAGAGCCACGAGTTCGTTAACCTGCCTCCCTATTCAGAGAAAAGGTAAAGTAAGGATTCAAGTAGACTAGTGATATCGTCAGTTATGATTAACTGTAAAAATGCTACCAATATAGAGTACTAGCGATTCACCATCGCTTCGCTCAAGTTCTTCCTTAGACAAAAATAATCCCACGAGAATCGCACATTACTTCTAGATGAAAAGTAATCTATGCACTATTTCAGACTATTATCAATTTGAGCCAAATTACATCTATATCCGTTTAGCCGTTCAGGCGTAATTGAGTAACAAACATCCATTCGAACTTTAGCATTTATAATAAGTATTAATAGATAAATTATAAATAAATGGATGTATATATACTTACTCAATATAACTAGTAGTTTTATTTGGCTTGAGATCAGGAGTTACATTTATTCGCGTAAGAGATATGCTCTACCAGTCCTCGTTATTGTCAACGTGCGGCTGAGGTCGAGACAAATCTCTTAATTTATTGTTAGCTAACTCTGAGTATGTAGGTCTGTATTTTTTTAAGTATACCAACTTAAGACCCCAGCTTTATATATGTAAGAAAAAGTAGAATAGGCAACTCAAGCTGTATCATTAGTTTTACTTAAAAATATCAAAATAGACTAATTTGTCTCCTTTTGGTCCATTCGTAATCTGTAAAGAATAAATTGAAAAGAGTTTTATTAAGATTCAAATTATTATTTATCGTATATGAAGAAGCTCAACATAATATAGCCCAATCGCTTTCAATTGATGCATAATTAATTAGAGCTCGTTAACAGAAGTCTTTAAAATAAATGACGCTGAAAATCCTAATAAACAATATTAATTTGATTATCATAACGAAACACTTGTTTCGCAAATTGTATTCAGCCCTAATTAATTAGAATCCCACTACTGGGCACGGGCCTCCCTATAAGATATGTATGAGGAGAATTAGGCCATGACCATTAGGCCACCACGATAGCCGGGTGCGAGTTGGCCAACCATGACATGTCCTTTGAAAACTTGTTATTTTCTCTCAGACATCAGGTTTCCTCACGATGTTTTCCTTTACCGTTAGACAAGTGGCAATCATGATGGAAAATATGATTTGCATATGAAAATATCAGGAATTTGAACCCGTTTAACTCGGTCTCCCAAGCGAGCGCGATACCACTGGGTTACCACTACCTTGTTTAACTAATAACATCTACATATTGCTTTGAATTGTTCATAATTCTACCAGGTATCTCGCTCTGACTACAGGATAATAATAATTCATTTGACGGCTAACAGCTTTCCTCGACTCAGATTTCAACGACGTAATTACATTGTCAAAACTTTTAATACCATGTCAATTCGCCACTGCATACAACAGGTACAAAATGAATACATACTTGTCACCTTGTGCATTCATAAGTGATAATAAGTTTTGAAGTTAACGTATTTTGGCGCATTATGAAAAAAATTATGAGTGATTTTTTTACGATGCAACAGACTACAGTATGAAGTTAGTCGTTATTAGTTACAGTGTGAAGTCAATCGTTAAATCTCTCTGAATAGTATAGTGTGAATTGATGTCTATATTCAAGATATTTATTCCGATATCATTTGAATGTCGCCATTTTAAATTCAATATGCCGGATGTTACAAAATGGCGATTTATCATTTCCACAGTGGTCACTATGATATTATGGGTTTCAAATGAAAGGGCTTGATGAGCGAAACACAATAACAAAGTGATGTCATTGTAAATCCAATATGGCGGACTACCAAAAATGCGGATATATTTTTATTATGCCCTCCAAGTTGTGTTACTCTTAATATAGTCAATGGATTT